TAAAAGCCATTAATATTACATTTGTACATTCATTCAAGAAAAGTCTCAAGCAATTAATTCTCTTGCATAGTGTTCTCTTTCTACACACTGTACTGACTTTAGCATCGGAGGGGCCTTCCTCGGCAACACCCCCGAGGCTAGTTTACGTGTGTTTACTGTGCAGGAAACCCTTCGGCCCAACATCACTTGGACCGAATCCAGTCTTCTCCACTTCATCGGACCTTCGACAAGGTCCCATTGTTTTCACCCGAAACAGTTAGTGTTCAGATTAAGCTAGATGATTTGACGGCACACAGTTCATTTGCAAGAGAGACTTGAAATTGGAATGCTTATTGATAATGAATGAATATTGATGGGCCAAAAGGCCAAATTGTTCATTAATAATTCATTAAAAAAAATGGTATATCTTAATGTAGAATGAAATAGCCAAACATGAAAACAATAAGTCACATCAAACAGTAATTACAACCAAGAACACATAATATAATCATGAAGACACAAATTAAAACTCATGTATTTGAATCAATCTAGAAAATGTGGTAAATGTTTTATATGGATACTTTTTCAGTTCATCATTAAAATCAAATTTCTGAAATATTCAATTTAGCCTTTTACATATCTGGTTTACATTACTCACAAAAATTATCAGTTAAGTGTAAAAATATAGTTACCCAACGTCCAAATGTAGCATTCAAATAATCTACAATGGATAGCGAGGGGAACAAACTACTTTAGGATTTCACATTTCTAACAATGCCAATTTATCATTAGCACCATTTTTAGGCCTAATCACAGTGAACCCAAATTATTTATTAATAAAAATATCAAAGGAAATCAAATCGAAAAAAAAGGAAAATAGAAAAAAAAAAAAAAAACAAGAAAAGAACTCAGTCCCTTAGATGTTCAATGAAGTGCGATCATTTCCGCAAAATCATTACAGGTCTGTATTGACTCATCACCGTTCCATTTCTTGCCAATTAAAAACCCAACAAAAATAAAATAAAAAAAATAGAGGGTAGATTATGAATTTAGCTGCTTTCAATTATCTTAATCGTTATAAAAAAAAACGAAGAAGAAAGTAAGAGAAAACAACACGAATTAATGTTGCTTCAAGGGAACGAGTCAATGGGGATTCATATTCTCCGCATCAACCAACAAATGAAGCCTTCTTTTTTTCATTCATTCATCTTTCAAATTGACCAAAGGAAAGAGATAATTTTCAAAAACAGAAACATAATATTTTTATGATGAAAACCAAGGAGAGAGAATAGTAGAAACCCTAACTAAATTGACAGACCTGAAAAAGTCGATGGATGATAAAATGAAGAAGATGAAGGGGGTTTATATAAGGTAAGGGACGGCTGGAGGGTTTTGATTTCTTAGGTTAGGCTCTTCGCTCCAACCTCCAATTGGATTTATTAAGGTCAAGTTTGGTCTTTATTTTATTTTTTCAACAAAAAAACTTATTTTCATCATTTTTTTACTACTCGGCAAACGATTTTACTCTTTTCGTTTACTTATTTCTCCTACTGATTTATAATAATCGCGGCACTTTAAGTAATATACGACTTTAATCATTAATAACTGTAATTTTATAATCTATTAAGAAGTATTCCCTCCGTATTTTATTACTTGCTCTATTTACACTATTCATTTGACGACTTAAATTTTTTTTTTTTTTTTTTGCCAGCACCAGTACTCATTTAATTAAGGGGAGATAAACTCCAAATCTTTCAAAATACAACTAGAAATTTCTTGAGGGTACTCCTCAAGCCACTCTCTCCTCAACAAACTTACTGCTAAGTTTTGCAAGCTCATGTGCAACCATATTCCCTCTGTATTTTATTACTTACTCTATTTACACTATTCATTTGACGATTTAAACTTTTTTTTTTTTTTTTGCCAGCACCAGTACTCATTTAATTAAGGGGAGATTAACTCCAAATCTTTCAAAATACAACTAGAAATTTCTTGAGGGTACTCCTCAAGCCACACTCTCTCCTCAACAAACTTACTGCTAAGTTTTGCAAGCTCATGTGCAACCATATTTTCCCCCTTTTAACAAAAGAAAAATAAACATACTCACACGAATTTATCAGCGAAAAAATATCCTTTAATACATGCCCAAACTCTATTTGCACTATTCATCTAACGGTTTAACCTACTTTAACTAATGTTTGTGATTTATACTATACATAAGAAAAATGTAGTCTTATGGGTACTTATTGTTATCGTTTCAATGAATATATTATTAAATTTCAATTGTTATAATTGTAAAAATACAGAGCAAATATAAAAGGTTTATAAAATGAAAATATACGTAAAGACTAATTCAAAAATATTTTATATGACAACCAATGTTATTTGTATATTGATAAAAAGAATATAGTCAAAGTGAGCATATAAACAGTACAAAAGTCACATTATTGCAATTATTACGAAACAAAAATTGTATATATTTTTGCTCATTCTTGTTGTTCTTTCTATTTGAAATCATGTTCACCAATTCACCGGTTGTAGTTCTAAACTACTTGAATGGCCACCGAACCAGCCCACCACTATAACATTCTAATGGTAAAATTCTATATAGCCATACAATAGTTGCTCTTGCAAGCTAAACTTGATTTAATGGGAAAGATTGCACTTTCCAACCTTAAGGTTGGGGGTTCAATCCCCACTAGAGAAACTTTGTGGGTGGGGATCCCTTACCCTTCCTCCTCACTCTCAAAGTGTCTAACCCGTAAATATCGGACCAAAAACCGGTAAGGATTGCGGTACGGTCAGGGTTCTTATCTTTACTTTAAAAAAATAATAAAATACAATAGTTCTTATTTGAGATTTGGTACCTCTATTCTTTTTCAATTAAAACACATTGAGTATTATTCACTTATGTTACTACGACTATCCTTGATAAATGTATCTGTAATGATCTTGTTAGACTCGTTTTGATTTATTCTTTTTCAATATCAAATATTTTTTATGAAAAAGTAATTAATACATGTTCAGAAGGAAAAATGGAAATTAAAAATCCAACCTTGCACTTTCTTCTCTAAAAAATCCAACCTTAAGTTTATTCCACAAAAATCCAACCTTTACCCTCTATTTTCATCTAAAGATCCATTACCAATTGATTACCGATTTTTGTAAGTTATATGCCACGTGTCAGCTATTAATAGGTCAATTATTTTTTTAATTATTAAAAACAAAAATTTAAAAAAAAATAAAAAAAAATTAGTAAACCCAGCCCTACCCTCCTTCCCTGAGCACCCCATCCCCACCGCCCATCGGCCACCAGAACCCAGCAACCCCATTCCCCTCTCCACTGGAAAACCCACACCACTCCTCCTGCCGGCCAGCCGCCCCTACACTGCAGCAACACACGCTACCCGCAATCTCCTCCAATAACCCAATACTTCACCGCCTCACCTCAACCGCAAGCCACCCGCCTTACCACTAGTCGCCGCCCCAACAATCCACACCAGCCCACACGCATCTCTTCCCCCTGCAAAACCCACACCGATTAAAACCATTCACCAATTAACAAATCCAGTTCGCACCACCGCCCAATCTTCGTTTCCACCCTCCATTTCAGCAACCCCGCAAACCGCAACCACCGACTCCAAACCACGATTTACCTCACGCAACAATTCACCAACCTAAAGGCAACCTCCACAACAATTCACAACCTCGTTGCGGTTTCGGACTCGTCGCCGGAGAAAGGGGAGGAGATAGAGAAGATGCCGAGCCTGGGTAAGAGGAGTGGGGTTGGTGATTTTGACTAGGTGGGGCTTGTGGTTTCGAGTCTAAGTAGGAGTGGGAGAAGGGTTTCGATTCTGGGTTTGGGTAGGGTGGGGTAAGTGGTGGCAGAGTGTGGTGGCGGCGGCGGAGGTGCGTGCTGGTGCTATGTTGTTTCAGTTTTTGAGGAGAGAGGGGAGAGAAAGAGGAGGAGTGAGAAGGGAAAGTGAAAAAATTAAAAAAAATAATAAAAATAAATAAATCTTTTTTAACCTGTTTAACAGGTTAAAGATCAAATGGATCTGTTGGTGAAGATGGGATATGAAGGTTGGATTTTTGTGGAATAAACTTAAGGTTGGATTTTTTAGAGAAGAAAGTGCAAATGTTGGATTTTTAATTTCCATTTTTCCTATTGAGAATAAGTGATTATAATAATTCATTACTTTATCTATCTCTACTTTATGTCCCCATTTAACTTTTCACAATCTCCAACACGAATCTTAAAAAGTAATATATCTCCATTTCATACGCATAAAGATTATTTTATTTTTTTTTTTAAAAAAAAATGGTTATCAATAAAAATATAAGATGAGACAAATTCAAAAAGTTCACATATGATTATATTACCTCAATCTCTTATAAATTGAATTAGAATTTTGATTAAAATTTTCAAAATTTGACCCAAATATTGTTAATGGGACAAAATAAAAGTAGTGATAAAGGAAGTAGCAAGCAAACTGAGAAGTGTTGCACACGATATAAAAAAAAAAGTACATCCTCCGTTCTTTTTTACTTGACCCGCTTTGACTTTTACATTATTCACCATCCCTCCTTTGACCGTCTTTTGTGAGTATATGTATGGAATAACATATTCATGTGGACTCTTTTTGAATTCATATCGTAAAATATCATTAAAATTTGCATTGACAAACGTGATAAAAAAAAAAAAAGTACGTACGACGTATTTTCTAAACCACCTTGGTCACCAAACCCCATATTGCATATTGGTCTATGAATGAGCCATGAGCCCATGACATATGGCATTGGGCTCTGCGCGAAACTATCTAACAGACAAAATAGCGGTGATCTATTTAATACCACGGCCCAACCCAACACGGGGGAATAGAACTGTTCAGTTTAGCGAAGAATCTAGAACGTTGGTGAAAGACCCCTGTTGACTCGTTCGTCCGGATTCCTCCCAAAATTTACGTCTATCCTTAATCCATTACAAAAATACCTGTCTATTCAAGAACCTCCTAGAACACTCACTTCGTCTTTATAAATATCTCCATATCCATTTTCTACCTTTCAACATCAACCATCAATCAATAATTAAATATCTCACATTAGCACTACACTCTAATCAATCAATTTTCTGTTCAAATCAATTCTTCAACCAACCAAAAAAAAGCAATCAACAATGTCGCTGATTCCAAGCTTCTTCGGAAACCGAAGGAACAACACCTTCGATCCCTTCGCAATGGACCTGTGGGACCCATTCGAAGGCTTTCCCCTCGGCGGTAACTTTAACCAGTCTCTCTCCTCCGGCAGCACCTCCGCCCGCGACACCGCCGCATTCGTCAACGCTCGAATTGACTGGAAGGAGACACCTGAGGCGCACGTGCTCAAGGCGGATCTTCCTGGAGTGAAGAAGGAGGAGGTGAAGGTTGAGGTGGAAGATGGGAAGGTGATCCAGATCAGCGGAGAGAGAAACAGGGAGCAGGAGGAGAAGAATGACACGTGGCATCGTGTTGAGCGGAGTTCTGGAAAGTTCTTGAGGAGGTTTAGGTTGCCTGAGAATGCGAAGATTGAGGAGATTAAGGCGAATATGGAGAATGGTGTTCTTACTGTTACTGTTCCTAAAGTTGAGGAGAAGAAGCCTCAGTTGAAATCGATTGACATTTCTGGCTGAAATTATCCTGTGCTTTCTATCAAATCTGGAGTTAAAGCGGATTGTATTAATGATGCTTACTATGTAATCTTTAGTGATCTATGTTAATAGTATGAAATTATTAATAATAAGTATATCTATGTATTAATGATGCTTACTATGTAATCTTTATTTTGATCTTAATAAATTTTGTTTATATTAAATCTTGAGTTAAAGCGTATTGTATTCCAATGGTAATGAGTCTTATGGTTAATTGCTAAATAGGTACTCTGTTTCTGACTAGAGAAGAAACTGATCAATATGTTGCACGTTTTTAATTTTCTTCTCATTTAAGAATTATTGTTTAAATGTTAAATGAGAATCTCAATTTATTAGCGGAAGACAAGAAATCTGAGGTGTTTTTGGTTCTCATTTAGTGGAACTCATAAACCAAGTACTACATGATAACAGTTATTTGCAACGATTTGAAATAAAGCAGAGAGGAAAAATGTCCCATCGTTGCAAATAACTATTAACGGAGGTAGTAGTTATGGATTGAATGGATTCACCAATGATCCGTACAAATTGTCATGGATTTGGTTAGGTTATTTTGAAGAATTTTAGCTCATAATGATTGGGCTTGTTAGGCTTTGTAGTTGGGCTTGTTCTACTATGCTTTGCTAACTCAAACTGTTTTGTCGACACTTGCTCTGCTTCGCTAAAATCTGTTTTGCTCTGCTTTGTTCCCCGGAAGCTCAAAAGAAGTTAAAGAACAGGACCTTAGCCTGTTTAATTAATATGAATTGATTTGGTAAACTATAAAGTATACAGAATAAAGGAATCACTTAGGTCCCGTTCACTTCACCTTATTTTTGCTGAACTGAAATTATTTTTACTTAACTGAAATTAATTTTACTGATTTTCTATTACATTTCTTCTCTGAAGTTACGGAATTTTACTGAACTGAACTTATTTTTACTGAACTGAAATTATTTTTACTTAATATTATTTTTTTTAAGGTGAAGTGAACAGGGCCTTAGTCCAATGTACTTTGTTATTTAATGTTGAATAGATAAATAAAAATGAGATTTTACTTGCAAATTATTTGCTATATTCATTTATGTCATTGAATATCACAAATTCATAATGCAATTGCTATGTACTGATTGACCCTAGCTAATACTCTGTATCATTTTGGTGCTTGATTGACTTAATCAACAAAAGAGTGCAAAAGATAATTATAAATATTGTCCCTATTATTATGCATAACAAATCTCATAATGAGATTTATCAACTATATTACAACAACAGGGGAATTACGATTTCACAACAATAAGGCTTCCATAAAAAGAGTGTGTCAACATAGATCTCTATAGAAAATTAGAGGTACATTATTAAAAAAAAAAAAAAAAATCAATTGAACGTGGACTGATACATAAATAAGATTTGTATCCTACATCTAATCATAAGGATTTGTATATCCTACATCTACACCCTAGGGATGTGTACACAATTCGAAATGCTTATTGCTTAACATATATAGCTAATAACATTATTTATTATAGGTTTTACGGAAATAAGGTAAAGAAGATTGATGCTCCCCTTCGTAACTGTAGCAACAAGAATTGTGCACTAGTAATGAAACAACCAAAATAACCACGGGGGTACAGAAGCCGTGGTCTATTAGTTTTGTTTGTTTTTAAAAAAAAATTGAGAGAGAAGTCATGGCCTGTTATGATTTTTTTTTTTTTTAAATAAAGGTAAGATAAAAATAATTAGGATGCCCTCCTCACGAGTAGGAATGGCAACGGATCGGATTCGGGTCGGATGGAGCTTCACCCGCATCCACCATCCGCTCTACCCGATCCACCCGTTATCTGCAAAACCCATCACTCGCTTTTGATCCATCCGTCATCTGCGGGTGAAACGGGTGGATCAGATGCTTAGCAGGTGATAATTATAATCACTATTCTAATACTCTAATATATTATTTTTATATAAAAAAAACTTTTAACCAATTTTTAACTTGAATAGTAACCACTAATTAGCTACTAATTCCAAACTATAGCAATAATCACAAAAAAAAAAAAAAATGAAGTACGTAGTGCAGTATGTATAATAGAGAGGGGCTTTTATATATATACTAGCTTAAGGCCCGTGCCATGCACGATAAGTCTGACTTTTTTTAAGAAAATTAATTATATCTAACAAATAAAATTTGATAAAACATACACATCAAATATATAGAAATTATAATGTCATAATTTATATTAATAGGCAATGCAAAAAATTAAACAAAAATTGATATTTTAGGCTGCCCAAACCCAAGAATTTTTTCAGACGGGGCTTGGTTTGATCAGGTTTAGTGGCCATATTAGTAAATACTTATTTATAAATGCATTTTTAATAAACATCAGAAATCAATCAAACAACAGACTAAAATCTCCACTAAAACTATTAGCAAAAGTGCACAACATACACACAAATATATTAATTAAAATAAATATATCACCTTTTATATCTAAAAAACCATTTCAATGGAAATAAATACTACTTTGATCATTAAAGGCAAGAACAATCATTGGGCAACACTAATCTATATTATTACATTTTCTGTTTATGGATTGATGCTCTACATATACAATATTGTCATTCTTTGTTGTTATAAAAAAACGTGTTTGAAGCTAACAATAATTGTAGTTCAATAATCTTTGTTTATTGTTTTAAAAGTTTAATGGTAGATGATAGATATATATATTAAAAAAAAAATATATCAAAAGAAGATGTCAATTGTCACTACGTCTTGCATGTCGTCTTTCAGTATGCAAATTATTTATGAATGTCGGATGTAATAAATTTATCATCTCAATCAAGTGTCTTGGCAAAAGATAATAATTTTTTTTTTCTTTTACTAAGATATTGATTTTTTTAATTACGTAATTTACGAAAAAAAAAAATTTGATATTTTACCTTTCCCTATAATTAGACATAAGATATAATTGTCAAACACAACATTTATTTTATAGTTATACTATACTCTATAAATCCTTAATTTGTGATATATAATATATACGTATAGTAGTAAATTTCAAAAACAAAATTAATATATAGTTATAATGAATTGAAATTGAAATAAAAATATTAGCTAGATCGAGGTATTTGAAAAAAAAAATAAAAAATTTAGTGATGTTTTAAAGTGATTTCTTTCATTCAAAAAAAAAAGTAATTTCTTTAACATCTATTATATGGATCAATTTATTATTACTTTTTTGGCAAAATTTAATAAAACTCCATTTAAAAGATAATTAAAAAGGAGTTGAAATAATTATTTAAGTAATTGTGTATAGAAAAATTATGAACACCAAATAAAAAAGGAATATTATATTTGTCATAAAAATAATATATAAGATTTGTAATGATATTATTATAGAATAAAAAAATAAATAAATAAATAAAAAGTTTTAAAAGGGAAGGAGAGTTTGGAGGGAAAAAAACAGCACCAGGATGTGATACGTGTAACTCCCGGTGTCTGTTTTAGTATTAAATTATTGATATTTTTAAAAGATCTAATAATTTATAGCAAACTATTTTTAGATATACATAATAAAATATATAAGGTCATTTTTTTTTGTAAAAAACAATAATTTATATCAATAACATAATACTAAAACAGACACCAAGAATGACAAGTGTCATTTCTTGGTGCTGTTTTTTCCCTTCAAAACTTTTTTTTTTTATTCACTTTCTTTATAAATGTTCAATACAGTATATTTTGTATAGAGTATATAGTAATTTTGTAACAAAAATTTTAGATAAGATGTATAATGTTGTTGTTGTTGTTTACAAAAATAGTGTTAAATTAGATTAGTCTTGTGCAATGCACGATTTGAACAAATAATTTCTAAATTTGTTTTTTTTTCATATCATTTTTTTTTAAAATCCCAAAACAAATAATACATCAAAATTTTTTTTAAAAAAAGAGAGCTCATACAAAAAGTGAATGATGAGAAAAATTTAATTATTGTTGTTAGAGAGAATAGACTGTTTTTCAAAATTGATACTGATAATAATAATAATAATAATAATATAGCTGGCCAGAATTTTAATAAAAAAGTAAAAATCATAAAATAATGATATCATTTATAGTTTTGAATGGGGAATTTTTATTGACAATATAACATATGTTTAATTTTAGGATAGAATGATGTCAACGGTTGCTATTTTAGTATTAGTTATAGATTTAGAATATTAATGAAATCACTGTGTATGACACGGGACTTAGCCTAGTGTATTATATATTCGGGTGGTGGGTGATAAACGGATGACGGATGAAACGGAGCCCCACCCAAATCCGACCCAATCTATCACCCGCCTTTCATCCATTTATTTATATCGGATGGATTGGGTTTGCGGATATCCATTTAAAATTGTCATCCTACTCACGAGGGGTAGTTATTACTCCGTAGTTAATGATGAGAGCTTGTGTATGATATGTTTGTATTGTCCTTGTAGTTCATTCACTAATCAAATCACCCCCGATTCGTGGTTAAAGTTTCCTTCTTGATTCCAGGAGATTCTGGTATAGATTCTCATCACCCCGACCTTGTGGTTCTTTTTTTTTAAAAAAAAAAAAAAAATAGATCAAAAACCAAAATTTTTTATTTTTTATTTTTAAAAAAAAACAAAAGAATGAGGACAAGTTGGTCATTTTGGCAATAAAACCGCCATAGGGGGGAAACAAGAAACCGAAACAATTTTCCATTTCCCCTCCAAACGAAATTGACAACAACCCTCCTTTTTCTCTCTCCTCGAGTTGCAGTTAGGAAGGTAGGTACGGTTAGAGAGAGAGACTCAAACCAGAAACACCTAAATTCAATATAAAAAAAAAACAGTGAAACAAAAAATGAGTGACCAGCCGAAGACTACCGAAGACCCTAACGACCTCACCCTCCCTGACGCCGCCGCCGATGCCACCGAAGCCGACGACCTTCCGGCCGCACCATCATCGAGCCGAGTAAGGGGCCCTTGGTCGCCGGAAGAAGACGCCATACTTAGTGAACTTGTTAGCAAATTCGGAGCCCGAAATTGGAGCCTAATCGCCCGTGGAATTCCCGGTCGCTCCGGTAAATCTTGCCGGCTTCGTTGGTGTAATCAGCTTGACCCTTGTGTCAAGCGTAAACCTTTTTCTGGTAATTTCTAGTACTCTTTTTTCTCTCTCCTTTTTTTGAATTTTTGTTTTGTTTATGTTTACCGCTGGTTGAATTTTGAAAATGTTTGATGTGATTGGTTTTGATGATTGTGGGTGTTTTTGATTTGTGTGTTGGTGTTCGATTTCTTGTTGATGAATCAATTGGTTTGTGTTTTATTGGTTTGCATTTGATGATTTGAATTTTAAAGTAACGTAATTTTCGTATATTTTTTTTATCTGATTTTTGGAGATATTGGTAGAATTTGATGTTAATTTTCTGTTTTTCGTTGTTCTGATTAAAAGGTTATCTTGTGCAGAAATTTTACTAGTTTGTTTGCTAAATTTTACTTCTTTTTTGTATTTAGTGTTAAATTTAGTAGGATGTAATCAAAATTGCTTCATTTTTGGAATTTTGAATCAAATGCGGTTACATTTGTTTGATTTGGGGTGGAATTCTCGGGTGCTTTGAATTTGAGTTGGTTTCATTCAAGTGAGTCGAGTAATGTAAAGATGCTGGGTGTTGCTAGTTTTAATCAAAAATTAAATTCAGCTCGAAAGGTTTGTTGAAAAGCTTTTTATGACATATTAGATTGATTGAGGGGCACAAAATTTGCAAATTACACCTAGTCTGTGATCGTTTCGATGGTATGACTAGCAGGGCACCATATGACCTAAGGGTGGAATATTGTGTAACATAAAAGTACGCAACTAGTGGCTTGTTTGGCATTGTTTTTAGTTTTTAGTTTTTGAAAAAGGTGTTTCCACTTTTCTGTTATTAGTTTTCAAAAATATCATATTTTAATAAATTTGACTAATTTTTTATTAATTATATGACACATATCATATAATTTTGAAAAGCTAAAAACCAAAAAACAGAAAACCACAATGATACCAAACGAACCCTTGGTATTTCGGTGGGAATTAGTTATGTTTGCTTGGTCTAGAGAAGGGTTGGTGAAGTAACATGTGCTTGAACATGTAGTTTGTTTATTCAGCTTTTCGATGCCCCTCCTTGGAAATGCAGGATGTTTTCGTCTTAGGTTTTAACTGAGTAGCCTTGTTGACAAGCTTTAGTTGATGCTATATTGAGGTGAAACCCTTCATTATGGTGTTACTGGCTCTTGGTTAACCCAGCAGTGTCATAGGGCTATTACTGATGAAATACCAATAATGCAATTTTTTTTTTTTTCTGTTAATACTTAGCTATTGTTTAAAATTTTGTATGATGTGTAGTGTAGTTAAGCTTAATAGAAAATCATTTCAACAAAATTTAAAAGTAAAGGTTTTTTTTTCCCTTGTTTGTCGTGAATGTGTGTTCCTTACTTCATTGCCATTGCATTCAAATGATGTTTATCTCATTGTATTGTTTGGTCTTTGAAGAATGAAATTAACCGTATCAGCAGTAGCATCAGCCAGTATTGAGCTATTGACCCATATGTTCTAAATTTTTGGCATTTTCTTTAAGATTCGGGATTTTTTTTAAACAATTAGTTATGTTCTGCACACAATAAAATTTTGCTTGGCTTATGCTGATGTATGATCCCTGTGGTTTATCCTGTCATGGCTTGAATATGCATTTAGAATTCGAGAAGCTACTTTATAAGGCCAATGTTCTGGTTTTTCTTTGGCTGGTTCTCTTAGTATGTGTTTATTGGTATAAGTTAGGACTTAAAACTGTTGACATCAGTAATTCAGCAGCCAGTAAGCCAAGGTTATTGATAAAATATTGGTTTTTTCTAATGCAAATCTCTTGCAAATTTTTGTTTCGTATACGAGTGGCTGAAGTTTTAGTTTGCTAATGCTTCTTGATTGACAGTTGCTAGATTTTATACATTTGGTTGGTTTGCATCAATTGCATGTTTTCAATTACTAGGATTGGGGATAAAATGACCACAGATTATAGTATAGTCTTTCTTCTTGTTTGCAATTGTGTCTAATGCCCAATTCAGTGCCATCCTACAAATTATGAGCAAACTAGATGTTTGGACTTGTTATGGGTTGGTGGATCTCTTTCACGCTCATTCCTATTTTGGGTTAGCCACATTTCTGTTTTTGAACAGCTTCTCTACATAAAAATTTATTATAATTTGTTTGTATTCAATCACCAATTCACCATGACAACCTAATAACTAATTATCCTATATTTAAGGGTATATTCAAGGAAGCATAACAAACTTAGTCAAACTAGCTGACTACTCAGCTTAATTCAACACTAGTAGAGATTTGTTACTTTGCAATACAACGGGCATTATCGTCACAGAAAAATAAAAAAGGAAGGTCTGTTGGCTAAAGAATGTGGGACATACATACTGAAATCTCACTACATTCCTAAAATAATGATCTTATTCCAAACAATCCTTTTGTGAAATTCTAGACATTTTCTGTCTTCCTTTTATCTTCACTTGATTAATATGTAGTTAGTGGTCTAAGGCATTTTTGAGGGCTCTTGCAGGTCAATAGTGGACATAATTTGACTATTCTTTGATCAATTGAAATACTTGGTATTGGAGCTCTAGATCAGATGGAGTCAAGATATATAAAAGTAGCAAATGTAATTATCGCTAATTAGAATGCTCATTACATAATAGCATTTGAATGCCCTGTTCTAGTGCAGGGTAAGGCCGTATGCTTCCAAGTTCCAACTCCCCTTACCTGATCAGGCAGGTGTCTCTTTAGTAAGCTTTGGGGTTCTGACGTTCTGTACTATTGTTACATGCTGTCATAAATTCCTTTGTGTAAGCATCTATCATAGGCATAGAAACAGGTGGTTTGCAAATGAACTGTTGTATCGATCATTGCAGCCTGAATTGTGGTCAATGATCTTTTTGCCCATGATAGTTGTGTTCGACAGTATTATCTAGTACTCATATATTTCGATGTCTAATTAGAAATATATTACTGCAGAAGAAGAAGACCAGACTATTATTTCAGCACATGCAATTCATGGAAACAAATGGGCCTGCATAGCAAAGCTTCTCTCGGGAAGAACAGATAATGCTATCAAGAACCACTGGAATTCAACCTTGAGACGGAGGTATGATTTTGGGAAATCAGTAGGAGATTCCAGCTTTGACAGAAACAAGGCATCATCCGAAGAAACAGTTTCTGGTGAAACCAATTCATTTAAAGCATATGATGGAAAACACGATGTAAATATGGTTGTTAACCAATGTCTTCAGCCCGATTACCAGTCTTCAGTCAATGAGAACCTAAACCAATCCGTGCAACCTGAAATTCAACCTTCAATCATGTATGAGAATCCCCCTATTGTAGTTGCATATCCTCCAATGGTTGCATATCCTCCCTTTTATGCTCATTATGCTGAACCTATTGAGCCCCCTAAACCCTCTCGTCCAGTTGCACGTGTTGGTGCTTTTAGTGTTTATCAACCCTCGTCTAATTTAACACCTGCTGCTCCACCTCCCAAGCCTGTGCCTGTGCAGGGTCCTTTGGTAAATGCCTTCCAACCTGACTTTGGAATCTCCAAGTTTCTTGATGGAGTTCAGTGTGAACCAATCATTCCTTTGCGGTGTGGCCATGGATGTTGCTCAACTCCAACTGGTGCAAAAACCCAAAACTCACTGTTGGGGCCTGAATTCATTGAATATGAAGAGCCTCCTTCCTTTTCAAGCCACGAGTTAGCGTCAATAGCCACAGATTTGAACAATATAGCATGGATCAAAAGTGGGTTGGATAGTGGCTGCACCAGAAGAATGGATGATCCTATTCAGAAAAGAGATATTCAGGGGAGTGATAATTCAGGGCAATGCGCGCAGACCAACAATGTGCGTTTTGAGGAAGGAAGGACCAAGCTTGTGGGTATGATGACAGAAGTGCTCTCAACTCAGATACCAAGGCAAACAGTCGCACTGCCTGCTGAAGTTGGGGTTTGAGCTGAATATGACGAGTGCTGTTACCTTCTAAGTAGCATTCTCGAGACCATTCTAATGTTTCAGTCATTAAATTCAGGGGTTGGGTTTTTTTTTAGGTTTTGTGAAATGTCGATGATTGATAGAGATTCACATACTAGCGGAACATCTTACATGGCGAGATTTGTGTAGCGCAAGTGATGAGATCTATAGTTTTTTTTGTTATATAGTCATGCTGGTATACAAGGGATGGGATCTATAGTCTTTTTTGTTAATTATAGTCAAGCTTTAGTACCCGAAACATGAATGTTCTTGCACTGACTAGTTATCTGTTGAATCAGCCAGCCAGTTTAATATGATGGGAGCTTTGGAGTAATTCTTAAGAGAAATAATATAATTGTGGATCTGGTTCTTCACTAGTAAGACTTCTATTTTTGAAATCGTAATTACTCTCTGATTTATGGAAACCTCCATAAAAAGTACTCATAATTGTTGTTGCAATATTTGAAGAATGGAGGGTCCATATTTCAGAGTTTGGTTTTGTCGGCAAAATTGGGTACTACCCCATTTCTCTGATCACAAACTGTTAACAAGGCCCACAACTGAAACGTCCATATTTTATCACACTATCTTGCTCTTGCCTCTTGAGAGTTGAGATCAAACTGTATTTCTCATTCTTTTTAACGGCAAAAAATTACTACGTAAAATAGTTTTGTGTGAAGTATATTATGTTCGATGGTTGATTAAGATTCACTAGTCTACTTTGGCTCTGGTGGTTTCAAGACTGTTGAAATCTCAGGTCAAGGGTTCAAGGACTGGTGGAAGAGAGAATGTGCAAGTGTTCTAAATGAGGTATTACAAATTTTTCAAAGGTCAAGAAACTAAAATTCTGAATTTTGACCCTTTTTGTTCTTCACCTAAACATTTATTCTTAGTGACTCAAACTATAGTACAGTAAATCAGTAATATACCAACCATATATTAAAGTGATTAGATAGTAAATACATCACAAAATACACTACTTAGATTTAAATTACAACATTACACATTCGTGCATATTTGCAATGCTCCTATAGCCTCATTTTCACCCAACATTGAGACTAGCTAACTTCGTATACATACTGACTACTAGTACACAACTATTTTACAATACATGCTAGTAGTACTTAATTACTCCGTAGTTACAATAGGTGAAAAACCCACGATATTATTATTTATTAGCCATATAATTTAGCCCTTGTAATTAAGTTTGATTAACCAGAGACATCAATAGACTTGAGCTCAGGCTGCTTTTCCTGCATCTTAGGCACAGTGACAGTAAGTACACCATGCTCCATATTAGCCTTGATCTCATCCATCTTCGCATTCTCCGGCAACCTAAACCTCCTCATGAACCGTCCAGAGCTACGTTCGAGGCGGTGCCATTTATCAGTCTCTTCTTCACTCTCCCTGTTCCTCTCTCCACTTATCTGGAGCACCTTCCCATCTTCCACCTCCACCTTCACCTCTTCCTTCTTTAGCCCCGGAAGATCCGCCTTAAACACGTGTGCTTCCGGCGTCTCCCTCCAGTCAATTCGGGTGTTAGCGAACCCTCCTACCGCCATACCCGAGGCCGTGTTCGTGATCGAGGTGCCGAATGGAAAGCCCTCGGTCGGATCCCATATGTCTAGAGAGAAAGGGTCGAATGTGTTCGATCGCCGGCCGCTAGAAAAGCTTGGTATTAACGACATTTTTACTGTAAAGTATAGTAATTTAGATGAAAGAGTAGGAAGTTAATGAAGTTAGGAGCATAGATTATAAGTACATGTATATAAAGGGCAATTATAGTAATCTTTGAGCATGCAACGCAAGATGTATCATTTCTTCCTCTTGACACTTGTTTCACATGTGGCAGTACAATATGCGATTGTTTTTGCAATGTACATGACGTGTTGAGCAGGCCTTGTCACTTGTAATAACCATGCAATTTTCTTGACAACCACAAAAGTTGAGTGCAATTTGGAATTTTGGAACTCAAGCTTATCGATGTGGTTAAGTAGTTTGTTTGATTGCACATATGATAAAAACTTAAATTTTTATTTCTTTCCGTATCTGGCTTCTAAATTTTTTGGGTATCATAATCAAAAAGTTGAGAGTGAGGATAATTTAAGTGATTATAGAGTAACATCTGATTTTAAGATATTTTGGGATTAATTCTCACCACCCGTCCTTGTGGCTCTCTAAACGCCAAAAAAAATAAAAATAAAAAGTTGAAATTGTCATAGGTAGATAGATTAAAGTCAATAAAAAATGTAAAGTTTTATAGCGTAGGTAATAGTCAATAAAAACTCAACTTCCAAAAGTTTCAATTTATATACTTCCTCTATTTGAGAGTGAGGTATAGTTCAAGTGGTTAGAATTCCCCTCCCGATTCCAAGAGAACTTGGGATCAATTCTCATCACCCGTCCTTGTGACTAAAAAAAATAAAAAAAAAATACTTCCTTTGTTTCTTTATAGCTGCAACACTTATCTTTTCATGCTTGCCGATTTATGATTTCAATCGTTAATATCTTTAATTACCAATATGTAAAAATTATAAACATTTGATTTTAAAATAGTATAAATTGAGACGAATCTAACTCGATCCCACATGACTATATTTTTACATAGTTATAAATCATCAAAGCTAGTCAAAGTGGAACACCTGAATAATGTAAAAGTCAAACTGTTACAAATATAAAAAAACGAAAAAAGTATATATTTTTGTTAGCCAAATAAATTTTTGTACTCCATAAGAATTAAGAACTTAAGAAGTTGCTCTCATGTATTGTAGGTTGATCAACTATCATTTGATTTTTCAATGTTAACCTGGAAGTAAAATAATTTTCAATGATCAACCACTTGAACTATCTCTCACTCTCAATATAACAATTTTTTTATCCTTAAAAAAAATTAAAAATATTCGGTTCCTTACAAAAAGCAAGGGTAACATTTGGTTGGGGCCCAATTGGTAAGTCGGCGGTACCGCAGTAAAAAAAAAAATTCCCGTCCCGGCGATCATCGTTCTCCAGTTTATCCGATGATAATCTTTCTCCTACATCACCGCCGCCCTCTCAAACACCGTACTAGACGCCGGAACCTCCCATTTGAGATGACTGCGAAAATGAAGGAAAATTAATCAGTTAACATACCTGCTTCTAGGTTAGATCGATTTCCAATCATTTTTCTTAAAATCTGGTCAATTTTCATATAATTGTGATTGTTTACATCTATTTATGTTAAATTTTGTTGTTGAATTTATGATTAAATGTTCAATTTTACTACCTCTGCTTGTATTTTGGATTCTTCTTCAGTTCCTTTTTAGTTTGGCTGCAACAATCCAAGAATGTGATCCAATTTATTGTTAATATGAAATTTTGTTGTTATATGGGGGTATTAAAACAAAATTTAGTTTAAGATTACAACTGGAACTTTAGTTTTCAGCTGCATTTTATGAATGGATCAAAGTATTTTTGAGCAATACAAACATTAATCATCTGTAACTTGTAGACTAGTCGTCGACTCCCTCCGTACATAAGTAACAATTACACGTGCTAATATACAAAATACGGAGTATTATTTTAGAATGTTGGGAAAGGTTGCCATATTTTCTACTGTAAATTGTGTCATTTTATTTTTGAAATGCCTTTAAAGAATATGGGTACGAGACAACTATTATTAGAGGATTTTGTTTGTATTCTTTACTACGAGGGGTTAAGTATGAGTATCTCATAATGAGTGGGGTATTAAATAAAGCTGATAGTGTTAGTAGTATGTACATAAATACATGTATCAAAATTAATACTCTGCAGTAAACTTTTATGACACAAATTTGTTAGTTGATTGTTGCTTGATTTTAGTACTTCATCAAGCAATTTATGATTACGATTGTCTTCAATCCCATTATGCAGTGAATTAATTTAATTATGCCAAATTTCCTCTGAACTTGGTGTATCTATCTGATAATTATGGCTTTTCAATTAATGTTATATTGCATGTCTAGTGTGTAGTTGCTTTGCTACATGTTTGTGGTAAGGCTGTAAGGTGTATGGATGACACATTCAAGTAGTGAACAAAAATAATAGAGACTTTTGGAGGGCAATGGGAGAAATAAAAGTTGTAAAGAACAACCGTGTAATTTGATTATACCATTTGAAGCGAGAAGAGCTAACCACATATGAAATACATAGGGCTGCTATTAAAAGTAGAAAATAACATAATCCGATGTAGGAACATGTGTCCATTTTTATGGAAAAATAAGGACTCTTTATTTGCTGAATCTATGGTATTGTTTGATTATTTCTGCTCCTCACCATTTCAGCACCACAAAATGATAAAATGTGACTAATAAGTTGATCCAATGATTCATATGAGGACTCTCCTTTCATTAGGCAACACTTTGCTTTCTCTTTCAAAGCATTTACCCTTTCTCTCATTTCTTGACCTTCCTTTTCTACCATCAATCTTCTAATCACACTCTCTATTTCTTGCCTCTCAAGTTGTTTCTCTAATTGCAATCCAACCTTCAGAACATCGCTAATGTGTCTAGCGTTCATCTTCTGATCACCAAAAAATGGAAGGCAAATCATGGGCACCCCTTCACAAATACTCTCGATGGTTGAGTTCCATCCACAGTGAGTCCAGAATCCTCCAATGGCGGGATGAGCCAAAACCTGTTGCTGTGGTACCCAAGAGACGATGTGGCCCCTTTGGTTCACTATCTCTATAAATTCCTTTGGAAACAACTCTTCATTTTTCTCTGAGCCATTAATCAGCCTCGGTCGAGTTGCCCAGAGGAAGGGCTGCTGGCTTTTGGCCAGTCCCCAAGCTACTTCTAAAAATTGCTCCTTGCTTATTGCTGCAAGAGTTCCAAAGCTAACATAGAGTACTGAATTTGGTGCTTGTTTGTTTAACCAAGTTATGGAGCTTTGTTCTTGAGTGACTATGCTACTCGTAGAAGTTGGAGAGATTTTGTGTAGTGGACCTGTCAGGAAAATAGGAGTAGCAAGAAAATTTCCACGAACTCTGTCTAGGATTGAGCCTTCAAGTTCCTTGAATGTGTTGCAGATTATACCCTGACAATTTCTCTTGGTTTCTTTAACCATGCCAAGAAGTACATCATGATGTATTTCTGGAGGAAGGTCTTTTACTTTTAGAGGTGGAACCTCCAACACTGGTTCTTCCTTTCGGGTATCTGAAAAGATTAATCACACCACAAAAATTGAAGATAAGACAAAGAGTCCAGGATTAATTCTTGTGAAACCAAAATACAATAATTTTAATGTCTAATTTTCGTTTCTCGTCTGTCTGTTAGTGTATGCTTGGGAGTTGGGAGCATTTTTGTGAGCATTAATATCTAGTTAGACTTTGTTGCTAATCCGAACCTCCTTATGCTATACACCTTTTGCCTTGATTTTTATTTTAATACTAGAACTGATAATGAACTAACTGTACAATTTCTATACTTACGCTGGTCGCTGGCACTCTTCTTTTCTCATTTCCTAAATGGCTTTCTGTTAGTCAGATTTTCTGACGTGTTAATTAGATTTTGATCCATGAAAATTTAGAGTTGTTTTTTTTTTTGGGTAGAAAAAAGGAAGTACCTTGGAGGGGGAAGTAGCCTTTTTCCTGCAGTAGTGGCAGTGATTCGTAAAGAATGGAAGCCAACAGGCCACCAGTTCTTAGTGCCAGCCTTGGGAGGTTCAGTTGATCAGCAACAACCCCTGCGAATTCCCACAAGGGGTCTGATATCAAGCATGCAACGGGCTCCCTGTCCTTGGAAGCGTGCTCCAGAATCTGGGACAAGCAATTCCGAAAAGACTCCAAACAACTCTTATTAAGGATAGTTATTGTATCTAACGAACCTGAAGAAGGTGTTTTAGCTTTTGACAAGACATCTTCAATGAAGTGGAAGTTGAAGTTGGGGAACTCAACAGGATTTGGGGAGTTGAAATGAGTGTGAATTACAGTGATGGAAAAGCCCTTCGAGTGAAGGGCATTTCCCAAGTTCAGCATTGGGGTTATGTGGCCTGTATATGGTTGTGGAAACAGTACAACTCTACAACAGAGCTTGCTTTTTTGCTGCTTCTCCATTGTTGCTTTAGATGCTTGCTACCAACTGTAGATGTTTGTGCTGCCTTATATTAACAATATATATAGAATGGTGCAAATGCACGTAGTTTTTTAGAAGGTAATGGCTCTAATCTGCTTTTCTTTTCTATGCTTTATGTCTTTCTTAAGATGCTATTGCTGGATTTATAAACCTTTTGACAATAGTCCACACTCCAGAAGAGAAATTTCTGCAGCCATGCTATTTGCCGCCTTGCTAGTTCTAGTTGGATTTATCGATCTCTGCCTTATTCTGTTTCCATTTCTGATAAATATGTCACCTCAAGTTTTTTTATCAGTTTGTTGAATAACTCGAGTTCAGTTACCACTTACTATCAGTTGTTGGTAGAAGAAGAGTTTGATTTGAAAACGTTTATAGACCAAACTGAATGAGTAACTTGATAAGTTTTTACTAAGTTGATGTTTTAGGTCTATTCTATTTGTGGGAGGTTGATTATTGCTCTGAAGGTAGTGCACCAGCCTTGTGGTACCCTAGTGAATTGATGGGTGTTGTCTTTTGTTAATGGTCATTTCGTCGTCAAACCTAGTAATAGTAACAATGCACCAGCCTTGGGATCTCTTGAGACTTTGTGAAATGTGAATGTTGTGAGTTTGAATTGTGACTTGTCCACTACCTTGGTGAGTTTCCTACTAGTGGTCTATAAGAAAATGATCGAGTTAAGAAACTTTGCTTTGAGGGTATGTATTGCATGTTTGGATGAAGATGAGTACACTGCGAATTGTTCTAGATCTTTATCTTTTATTGATAGAGTATACGACTCTTTGATTAAGATCAAAGTGAGATGTCTTAATAGGCCGAGAGTTTTAATTGACAAATTTTGCAAAAGATAACTTCGTATATAGTAAAATAAAATAGGAAATAAAGCTAATTGAAACTTTTTTAAGTACCAAATTTTTATTGTTTATATTCCCTCCGTTTTTTTTAAAGCCACATTTGCTATTTTCATCCGTTTTTTTTAAAGCTACACTTCCTCTGTTAGAAATCCCTTATAATTTAATAATATATGTTTACTCATTAATGTTCCCACTCTATCTTACTTTATCATTTTTACTCCTCTAATGGTCCCCATATTCTCTTACACCACTTTACTTTTCAATAAAATAATAACCTTATCTACCCATTCATCTTATTTTATTAAACCAAAACTCCGAGCAAATGGAGGGATTACATTGTTATTGAGATTTTTTTTTTTTCCTAAATAAAAAACTTACTACAATGCTTCAATCTAGTCTCTTTTACATCTTGATAAACACCTCTAACAATTAATAAGTTAATTAACATGTCAGCTAGATGAAATGACACAACAAATACTCCGTAACTAATTAGTGTATGTTTTGCTACAAGTCACAGAAAAGATACTGGTACCTAAGTATCAACATCTTTGAAGTACATTAGTTTAACATGTCACCTTGTAACGCATTTAATTAGTCAAAATGCTAATAAGGAGAAGTCTAATGTCTAAATTAAGAATATCAAGTCAAACCGACGAAATGTCGACAATTAACCGTCAGAATTCGAAAGTCAATACTCAATAATGTGTTGCTGGCAAAGTATGGGCCGAGTAAGAGCAAGATTATTGAAGAGGATGTAATGACAATAATTAACTAACAATGACAATGACAATAGGATATTAACACAATGACAATAATTAACTAACAATGACAATAACAAATCCTAGCATTGACAAAAATGAAAACGAATTTCATCTACTATCGTTAATTAATACAATACACAGACATCAATTAAAAAGCAATGATAGTAAATGGAAAAAAATAATAGTAATTAACCCTAACATTAACAATAATAAAAACGGATGACATCTACTATCGTTCATTAATATAATACACAGAGTAATTAAAAAACAATGACAGTAATTGACAATAAAAATTAATAGTAATAAACCCTAATACTGACAATAATAATAGTTACTCTTAATAATTATTCACGGGACTCGCATAGCAGAATAAGCAAGTGTGTTGGTTTTATTATTTTTTTTCTTTTTCCCATATTGAAACTCACCGTTTCATTGAAGGGAAAGGCAAAAAAAAAAAAAAAAAAAAAAAAAAAAAAAAAAAAAATTAAAAGATGAGTTTAGACCCACTCAACATTCCTCTCCCAAACATTTAATATCCTCTTCACAAAGAGGATATATTGCATTCCTCTTGAAAATAGTATCCTCTCTTACTTTTTTACATCAAAAACGATACTACTTTGGAGGAGAGAGAGTGAAGGGAGGATGATATATCCTCCCCAATGTGTGTGCTCTAAGAAAACACTACAGTATTTAATTAATGATTTATGCAATGCAGATGCAGGTGAATATCACATCTTTGTTTCAATGAATTATTGAGAATTTGAGATGACATAAACTACAACTATTGATTTTTACTTTCATTTTGGCCTTGTTTGACAAATGACTGTTGGCAGTTGGCTGGTTCCATTGGCTTGTTTGACCAGTTGGAATGTTTGACTGTTTAAGCTAGCTGTTATAAAAATGTTTGATAAATTTAATTGTTGGCTGTTAACTGTTTATTAGATAATTTGTGGGCCAACAAGCCAAAAACCAATAAAAAAAGCTACTCATAGCAACATTTTCATTTTGGCTTAAAAGCCAACTTTTTTGCTGATTGAAAAGTCAATTACCAAACATTTTTTTTTAGCTATTTGACTATATAAAAAAAACCAAAAGCTAATCGAAAAGTCATTTACAAAACATGGCCTTTATTGGGTTCTTTGACTTAGATTCCATCTCATCAACGTCGGTATTAATGTATACTACGTGCATTATTATTGGATATTAAATTTACCCCGTACTTAACATCTTTACTAAATTTGAGATAGAGTCGACTACATCACTACATGAATCAATTTTTTTTTTTTTTTTTTTTTTTTTTTTTTTTTTTGTTCTTTCACAATCACTCCCTTCCTTCATTTGATATAGTCTGAGTTAAATGAAACTCAATTTTTTTTTGTCACGTCATATTTTTTTATTCTCTCCATCCAAGTTAAGTTTTACATTCTTTTTGGTTTTGTTTTTCTTCTAAAAAATTCAATTATCTCAACTCTCCTCCTCCCTTACTAGTGAATCTCTAGATTGTCATCTCACTTACTCAAACTAAAGTAGTAAATTATCCTTTGTTGTATCTTTAATATTAGCAACTCCATCTTTTAAATCGAATATCTACTACTAATTTTATCTATCTCTAGTACATTGATAGTACCGATACAAGCCATATTAAATTTAACCAATCTCTAAGTACAAGTATAAATTGTTATCTCATGATCACACTTTCATTTCTAAATTTGGTTATACTCACATGCATATTTACAACTTCGTACCTATATTATAAAGCATCGTGCTCTATGATTCTATGGTAAAAAAATAAAATTGTACCATAACATAGCAAATACAACCACAAGTTTCAATGGCCATAGTTAGAAATATCTATTGTCATTACTATCTACAAGTAGAATATTCTCAACTAAACTTAGCAACCTAGAACCAACAAATATCCTTAAAGGGTACAAAGAAAAGATATGCTATAGTTTGCTTCAAATTCTCATGACATCACATACAAGATACCAACAAAGAGTGGATTCATACTTCATTTGCAACCACTAGTACGTTACAATATTGGCAATTCGTCATTCGTGTACTCGCAATTCCATAAAAGCATATCATATAAACTTAGATAATTCACCACGTTAATGTTATACCTTCATTTTTAAAGAACCTAATTTAAATGACAATTTTTCCCTTTCCTTCACCATGTATTCATTTATATAGCATGGGTAGTTTTGACTTTTCACAAATTCCTTTTTTTAAACCTTTTTTTTTTTTTTTTTTTTTTTGCAGGGCATCATCACATATAAATGCAAAAGTGGGGGAATTTCTTTATATATTAAAAATAAAAAAAATAAAAAAATGGAGTAATTATTAGTAATGGTGAAGGCGTGGGAATAGTGGGGCGTCACACGCCGTACGTGACATGAGTAAAAAAAGAACGGTGCTAATCATTTAATTCATGGTCAAGACAAAAAAATAATTCTTAGTTTATAAAATGTTTTTATAATATACTAAGGGATTTTGTGTTATGTTGATATTTTCCCGTATGCTATGTCATGTTGTGTTCTCAAATTGAAGATTTGATTATGCAATAAATCATTATTCTACGTACCATTCAAATCATGGACGAGTTGTTTTTTTGTGTCATTTACCACTTAGCAGAAAAAAGTGGATTTAAAGTATGTTGCTTTAGGATTTAAATAGTTATGTTTAGCCTTTTGTTCCTAATAGGTGAGTTAATTTGTAATTAAAGATGACGAGTCATTTGATGCTTTTAGGTGTCGAGTTCTAGCTTCTTTTTCTTATTTTAATATCTATCATATATTCATACGCCTATTTTATTTCCTTGATTTTCATAAGAGACAATAATAATTGCAAGTTATAATACGGTAACATAAGCTTGAAATGAGTTGACTTGGATACTTGTTAAATAACTTAGGGCATGCGAGATGAACCATATCGGTACTAGGGAGAAGTCGATGAAAATTTATGCCTAAGTTAATAAGATTTGAGCGGCGTAAAAAGTTAGAGAGAAAGCTAAGTAGATTAGAGTAGACGAATTTCATTGTAGTGAATAAAAAAAGAAAATTATATTGGTGAAAAGTTAACTAACATGTACGGAGTAATATACGTAGTATTGTATAAGTTATTGGTTATTATTATTTTTTTTTACTACAAATTAAAGTAGATTAATAATAAAGCTACGCACTCTATTTTATATTTAAAACAAGATTAACAACGCAACACCTCACTTTATTTTTTTTAATTACATTTTGATGGATGCTCATAAGAATTTAGATAATTATTTTATTTTAATTAGCTAGCAAAGAAATAGGTTATGTTATAATCATGAAAAATTCAAAAAATGTATGATTAATTAAGTTTTATTACTCGTACCAATTTCCGCATTGTCACAAATGACTAAATGAGTAGAGCTTTCGGTCATGATGAGTTAGTGCATTTGACACTTCAGATATTCCCCAAAGCAACTCATTATCAGAAATTCAGAGCCTTCTCTTTAACATTTTTATGTTATAACTTATAAGCTAGATGGTGGTCCGGTTGGGGGGTCCAAATGATAAATTGACATCTTTCCTACCTTTCACCTATATTTGGTAGGGTTTGATTCTCTGTCACCTTCTTTTATTTTGCTAAGAAGACGGTAATTGATTCGTGTATATGTATTGTATGATCAAGTGATAATCAGTCGGTCGGAAAATGTATTATGCTAAAGAGTCATTTAAACAAAACTATGTGATGTGTTTAAATATGAAGTCTTGACAATACGACGATTACATTGAGATGAAAGGATTAATCATTTGTCAATTCAATTAATATAATTAAATATCTATATTAAACATTGACGATATTAGCATATACTAACCCTCACTGATTCCGATATCCCTCATCTTAAATCCTACAAAACCAACATTAGAAAAAGAAAATCATACTCCAAACATAGTGTACAAAATAGGCAGTGTAAACATAGGATCTCAGCTATCACGAGAAGGTTTAGGTATTCACATGGTAGACGTGCCTCAAGTGATACCATAAATCTTTATTCAGTCAGCTTTATGAATATAGTTTTGATCATTAATTGTCACACGTTATACGCTAGCTATGATACTAATCTCATCCAATTGTTGAATTTTGACTTGACAAACTACAAAGTTGTTGAGTATAAATGTATAAATAATTAGTCATCTATCTTGTTTAATACAGTTCTATATATATGCATGCAGCTTTATTTGCTAGATAAACCAAATTTATAATTTATATTCCGACAAGATATTCTTAGTGAAGTCTAATTATAGTGCATTGCAATAATGGTTTGTCAGTATCAATCCATGTGTAGAAGAAACTAGAAAGGATAATATAGAGATTTTGTAACACAAGCTTTGTAATACAAATATAGAATACTCCTAAGCTAGTTTATGTTGCAAACTTACACTTGTAAGTGTAGAAGTTTGACTAGTTAGTGACCTTGTACAAAGTGTTTTCAAAATTTTGAATACACCTATTTCTTTTCGAGTTTCTTCAATTATTGTATCCTTACACACGTTTACGTATTTAAAATGGTTAATCCATCTTATCGTGAGGCATGAGCCATCCACCCAATATATATAATTCCAAAAAGTTAATATATCTAATACGAGTATCTTATATGAATTCTTCAACGATTTAGATTATGATTCAAAAACTTTTATCTAATTTAAAAGTCGATATAATTAAAGTTTTTATAAAATATTTAATAATGTATACATGTCTCACTACCCAATATATATAATTCCAAAAAGTTAATATATCTAATACGAGTATCTTATATGAATTCTTCAATGATTTAGATGAGAATTAAAAAACTTTTATCCAATTTAAAAGTCGATATAATTAAAGTTTTTATAAAATATTTAATAATGTATACATGTCTCACTGTGACTCACACAATACATTCTCGACAACTTTTGTTTCTTACACATTTTAGTCTGATGTTTATTCCAATGACACCACTGGTGCCCAGTAATAATTTATACTACAAATTAAAATTGTGAATTAAGATGAAATTCACCTTATTAAGCCGAGTTAAGATTCTTCTATTTTCTTTTAAGTGTATAACCATACAATTTTTTTTTTTTTTTTTTTTTTTTTTTTTTTTTTTTTTTTTTTTTTTGACAATGACAAAGGAAAGAAAAACAGCTACATAATTAAATTAGAGAGGGTGCTACGGCAATTCTTTATATTTGGTAAACAAAGACAGCTTTATATTTGGTCAAGAATATTAAGATGCTATTTTCTTCAACTCATTTTGATTTATTTCAGGTAAAAATATTACCATAGATTAAAATAAATTCAAACAATGTACTAATATGGAGTAGTAAAATAAAAATAAATTTAGATCATACAGAATACTCAATAACTTTAAGTTACGAAGTACATTTTATACTCTGTAACAACATAAATAGTCTCCGTAACAACATAAATAGAATAAATGACTATTTCACCAAATGCCACTGAGCACTTTAATAATTCACCAAATGCCATCAAGGTTTTCAAAATTCAGCAAATGCCATCGAGTTTTTAAAAAATTCACCGAGTGTCATTAATGACTAACGGTCGTTAACTCTATTAGTCATTAGAATTAAATCATGATACATGTCATGATATGATTGATTCATTTTAATCATTTATTTTAATTAATAAAAATAAAATTTTTTCTCTATTTTTGTGACGAAATTGTTCAAGTAAAGTTTTGGGGGTTATTTTGACCCTTTATGGGTTCAAATTATCAAATTTAGCTCGGAATTAGCAAAAATATAATGTAAATGCCTCGTATTGTGTGTCGAAAAATATCTCGATTAGCGAGTCATTATTTTTAACCATAAAAATTGATCGGGTAAGGTTTTGTAGGTCATTTTGACTCTTTATGGATTCAAATTAAGCTCGGATTTAGAAAAAAAATAGCATAAATGCCCCGTTTTGTGTGTCGAGAAATATCTCAATTTGCGTGTTGGTTTTTTTAACCATGTAAATTGTCTAGGTAAGGTTTTAGCAGTCATTTAGGCCCTTAATGGAACCAAATTAAGCTCGGAATTGGCAAAAAATAATGTAAATGCCCTGTTTTGCGTGTTAAGATCATAATTTTTTTTTTACCGTAAAAAATGCAAAACAGGACATTTACGTTAATTTTTTGCCGAATATGAGCTTAAACTAGACCTTAAATGATCAAAATGACCCCCAAAACCTTACCCAGTCAATTTTAATGGTTAAAAAAGCGACACGCTGAGATATTTCTTGACATGCAAAAGGGGGCATTTATGTTATTTTTTTTTGCCAATTCCGAGCTTAATTTGAAACCATAAAGGATCAAAATAACCTCGTAAACCTTACCCGATCAAGTTTCATGGTTAAAAAATAATGATCGCTAATCGAGATCACACAAACGGGGCATTTACGTTATTTTTTTGCTAATTTCGAGCTTAATTTGAATTTATAAAGGGACAAAATAACCCCCAAAACTTTATCTAAACAATTTTTGTCACGAAAATCGAGAAAAAATGTTATTTTCGTCAAGCTGGTATCTTTATGTTTTATTATAATTAGTACCTTGTTGTTGCCCGTAAAAAATCAGACCTCCATTTTCTCTCTCCTCCGCCCTTCCTGGGCACCTCTAAACCCAAACAAAAGCAAAGCAACAACACAACACCCCCCACCCCACCTCCCCTCTCTCTTCTTCTTCACCTACTTTCTTCCTCTTCAATGGAGTAGCACAGAAAAACAACCCCACTTCAATTAACAAAAGCCCACTTCTATAAATCCCAGCCATTTTGATGATCTTATTTACATGAAGATTACCCCCAATGTCAACCATAATGCCAACCCTTCAAACCCATGTTATCAATATTGACCAAGGAATTCCCCGCCGGAGCTCCGCCGGCGGCGGCGAGGATTCCGACGAGGAGAGTGTTCGTTGCTCCGACGAAGACAGCAGCAGTAGCTCATCAAGTGAGTCATGTACAAGAGTGATTGTTGTTGGGGTGGGTGAAGTTGTTGGTGGTGAGAAAAGAAGACCCTCTTTATCTTCTTCTTCTTGCTTGTCGGAATGTTCGGTGGAAGAGGTGGTGGTGGTGGATCTGGAGAAAGACGGCGGTGCTGCGGCGGCGACGGCGGTGGAGACGAAAGTGGCGGTGCATTTGTCGAAAGTGGAGAGGGATTGTAGAATTTGTCACATGAGCTTAGACGGGTCTAACCCTGAATCTGGGTTCCCAATTGAATTGGGTTGTTCTTGTAAGGAAGATTTAGCTGCTGCTCATAAACACTGTGCTGAAGCTTGGTTCAAAATTAGAGGCAATAAGTAAGTTTATTGCATTTTACTCTACTTGTTAATTTTCTAATTAATGTTTTTATTTTGGATTTTGCCTCATTTTTTGCATTACTTGCTTAATTAATTAATTAATTAAATTAATTTTTGTTTTGTTGCTTATGCTTTGATTATTATAGTATGGGGTGTTGTGATTTTTTATTTATTTTTTCTGATGATTTGTGTATGTTGAATGGAGTTGAGGTTTGTTACTTTTTAATATGGAAAAACCAATGTGTTAATTGTTCATTAGTTGATAAATGAATGGTGATTAGACAGCTAACCACATGATTACTTGGATATGGAATCGTAATGTTTACGCTTCGAAAATGGAAGGGTCCTTGATTTGGATCATTTGTGAGTGGGTATGACTCGTTTTGAATGCTTTATACTCTGGCTCTTAGGGAGGTTTTTCATTAGGTAATCCATAAAAGAGAGCTTGTATTTTATGAAAGATAGTGTATTGGTGCACTAAGAAATAAGAATAGACACATTTTGTGTTTTGGATAAAAGAAAGGAGGAAAAATGTTAAAAACAAAGTAAAGTGGAGTCAAAAATGAATGAGGGAATCAAGTTATTAATAAAGCGAAAGTTGTATGGACCATGGGGTTCTCTGCTTGTTTATCTAATTAATTAGATTCTCAACTTAATATCATTACGTATAACTGAAGTTTTGTTTTAAAAAAATTTCTGTGTCGTTTGTGTCGGTAACTTCTTTATTTGTTAATTATATCTTAAGTTGTTTTAGTCATATATTGATATAGCAACTGCATTTGTTGCATGTGAATACTTTAACTGGCTTTTATGAGTTTGGTGTTGTGCTGAAGGTTGTTTCTATTTCCTGTCATGTGAAATACGAAAAACCTTTTTACAATGTTTACTTAATTCTCCTTTATTGTCTGCTCGGATTCTCCGACTTATAGTTGATAAAGATGAAATTTGGTTGTATTTAATGATACCACATATATAAATTGGTAAGAAGACAGTTTTGGAATTCACTTCCATTTAAGAATATCCTTCTTTTCCTTGCCTCTTGAGATACTTTCTGTAACGAGTACTTGACACTGGATGAAGATATAAGTAGCAGTTACCTGCTTTGCTAGACTAATTGCATAAAGCATAGTGTTTTTCATAGTAGCTATAACACGTGTGTGGATAAATCTAGCATCATCACAAATTGACATTTGATAATTGATTTGTTGTTACTTATTAGATATTTTTGTGCTACTGTACTCTAGCATGTCTGGCTGATTTGACCATTTTGGCTATATTCCATCAATTTTGTACTGAGGAGGAAGTTGCTGATAAGTTTTCGAGGCAGACATATTAGACAAGTTCATTTACTAGCTGAATAAAATATCTAAGCTTTGTAAATATCAGAATGTTAAGTTGTATATCTGCGTTTAATTTTCTATAAAGTAGCTTTTTGTTTGTTTGTTTGTTTGTCATGTTTTCTAATTTCTGTATGTCACTTGGGCTCTGTGATGGTTTGTTATGGAAGTGAGAGGAGTCACTAAATGAGAGCAGATGGTGACGCGTCTTATATGCAAATATTAATATAAATGCACTAATGCCAAGAACCATGATTGTGTTCCACCAAGTTATTGGATAAGTGTTATTGTTCACGCTCAAATAGCTGAGTTTAATAGTGGCTACTGGTTAGATACTTCAGAACATTGACAAGTTGTGCAGAAAAGTTCAACTGTTACTTTGTAGCTCTCAAGGATGGTCGTAGTATATAGTTGTCTAAAATTGGATGCTAGTTGGTTGACTTCTTTTTTTAAACTCCTTAGGGTAGTGCTTATCAAGTTCTTTGGTGCTCATAAAGCTTATATAATAATCCAAATACTGCTCTCTCTCTCTCTTTTTTTTCTTCTTAAAATCAATATAGTAGTTGATGTTCTTATGATTTTGCTTGTCATAATTAAATTACTTTTAGATTCTCAACTTAAATTTGTTTCCATTTTTTAACTCCGCATTTATATTTTTCTTTTTAGGAGTGTGTTTCATTATATTCCTCCTCTCTTGTAAGTTTCCCAGCATTCTTAATTGGCTACTTGTACATAGCATTCCTAGATTCCCTACCCTGTGTCCATTCATGATAGCCTACTTGTAATATACTTTGTATATTTTTGGTCCAATGTAAAGTGCCCTTTTGTATTCTGTCAAATAATTAGAGGCTGGATACAGATATCCTGGAATGGAATTTAAAAAGCTTGATTTACTTACCAAGCATGATTTCTTGACATGGATGATGATCTACAAATGGAGTTACGATCTAAGCAGCTACTTTTATATGACAATGTGTTACTTATTTGCTTTTGTTCTGCGCCATTCACTTTTTTGCCAATGCAAAAAGCCAATGACCAAGTTTGTAAATTGGCTGGCATTACCTCATCCAGGTCTTTCATCTGTGCAGAGCATGATGTTTTGAAAGTTCAGAACCTAGTGAACGTGTATACCTGAGATGCATGATGCAGGGCTTAGTAGATTTTAGAATTTAAATGCCATTGGTTTTAAGCATAAGCATTTCACTTGATAATCTATGTCAGTTATAATTGAAACGATCGTAGTGGGATATTGGTTTTGAAGATTTGTTCATTTGTGGTGCATTTAAATAACTTTGAAAGGATATATAAAGCTGAATCTATGTGTTGGTTGAAAGCGCACCAAAAAGTTAGATGTGTTTTATTGATCCTAAAATATAAAAAATCTGTATCGTTCTTCAGTCCAACCTATGGCAGGGGTAGGAACAAGGAGGAGGCGATAAAATTTATGCCTGGATTTACTGTGCCGTGTATTGGGTTACACTTGATAGCCTTGTCAAGTAATGTAATCATGAAATTTTTGGAGATAAAATTGTAGTGCTAAACTTAATTTTACTCCCTATAGCTCCTACTTCCAAAGGATAGTGATAAAATTTATGCCTGGATTTACTGTGCCGTGTATTGGGTTACACTTGATAGCCTTGTCAAGTAATGTATCATGAAATTTCTGGAGACAAAATTGTAGTGCTAAACTTTAATTTACTCCCTATAGCTCCTACTTCCAAAGGATAGTGTTAAATAATTTTGGCACTCTGTCCATTTATTACTCTATGATACTCCTGCTTGGTCTTACCCAAAGAAAAGAATAAAGGAAAGAGTTAGCGGGAAGGTTGCTATATTGTGAACTAGTTCAGGCTGGAGTGTAGCTCTTTTGTTTATTTGCCGCAAATATATTGCTCCATTGGCTACAGATCTCTAAAGTTTGACATCTATGGAGCTTTCCTTATTTCAGTTGAAGTAGCTTAAAGTATATGGAATTGTACCTAGGAAAGAATTGGAGAAATTTTCTATGTTCTGTTCGTTAAAATTTCTGAAGACGTTATATATTAGGTGCCTTTTTAGTCTCATGTGCATCAATACTAATTTTTCTTCATTACTTTAAAGTGCAAGTTTCCTGATATGTGCTTAGCCCCTTTTCCTGTTTTGGGAATTTTAACAAGCATCTAATATTATATCCCTTGCGCGGTTGCGCCTCCCAGAATTTTCTGGTATGAGAACAAATTATCTTGGAATGAATTTGCTATGTCAGATTTTTTTTTACTGCATTGTTTTTTCTTTTTCCCTTGTTCAAAATCCTGACTTTTTTACACAGTTCTTCTCAGAACTATTCTCACCTCAGCAACTGCTTGATGTCAACTTTCTTTCCTGTGCCTGACTGATCTAAACTTTTTTTTCACTTCAATTTGATGCAGAACCTGCGAGATATGTGGTTCAACAGCTCGCAATGTAGTTGGTGTAAATGAAGTCGAAGTAATGGAGCAATGGAATGAGGCTCAAGATCCCGCACCCACAGCTCCTCCTCCTCATCCATCTGAGACAAGGCATTTCTGGCAAGGGCATAGGTTTCTGAATTTCCTGCTGGCTTGTATGGTCTTTGCCTTTGTCATCTCTTGGCTCTTTCACTTCAATGTTCCGTCTTAAGATTCCTGTACAGAAGCAATGGCAACTTGTTGTAGTGTTTCAAGAAAAAGAAAAAAAAAAGCATAAAAAGTTTCTGCAAAGGCTCCATCAGCAAAATGCAGGTATCCTTGTACTCCATCCGCTTCTCAAGCATGCCTTATAGCAGCATTAGGCAAGGTTTGTTTATAGTATTAGGTTAGCCCCAAGAGCTTTTTAGCGAATATCTCAATCTTACTTCTTGTTGTCTCAATTATGCAAATCTATCTCAAGGACATGTTAGGAATTCATCACCATTGTCTGTCATGTTGTAATCTGTTAAGACTCGCTCTGTCCTTGGCATTTCACTGGGAAGAACTTAACCCAAGTGTAAAAGAATCCTTCAAAGAGGAGAAAAGAGATCCTCCTGCTTCCCAGTAATGTATTTGCTATTTGCGACTGAAATCGAGTTTCGTGCAGGAATAGTTGAAATGAAATGACTAATTCATCCTTGTTGTCAAGAGATGCTTTGTTATCCAAAAAGTTAATTAGATTTTGCTAGTTATCTTTCATTATCATATCCAAAAGTAGAAGATGCATGTTCATTGCATCTGCAGCAATGCCTGTAAAAGAGTGTTATGCAGTCATTTAAGATTAGGTTCTATTTTTCATTTTTGGTTTATATCTTTAAATTTTTTTGTATTTTTACTAACTAATGTTGTGATTGTAAGGTTACATATGATACAATTAGTAGAATGCCAAAGCTTGGCCGATAATAGTTTTGGGCGTGGTGCCTATGACTTTAAGACTTAAAGATTTAATTAAATCTGTCGACATTATTGTCTTTAGTGACTTTTACTACACCGAAAAAAGGAAAAAAAAAAAAAAATACAATTGTGACACATTAAAGCTGAGGCTGTCTAAACAAGGTTTGAAAGATGGGTGAATTGGCAAAAGTGCCTTTGGTTAGTGGAATTTTTGGCATTTTTAATGATACTAATCCAATATTATTTCCTGTTAATGCAATGTGGATTATGGCTGTAAATGGGGCCCAATGTGTCATTAAATCATAATTTCAAAGGAGTTGGGCCTACCTTAATTAGACTTATAAACACCATCTAGCTGTGTTTCCATCTACTTTAAACTAGAAAGTCAGAAATTGGACCGTTTAGAAATTATTTTTCTATTGCTCTTTCAGGTCCTTATGTAATACAAATACTCCTTGAAATTATTTTATTACTTTAGATTGAGGAATTTAAGGAGTAAAAATACATTATTTAATTTTAAGGATTTGATTATGCCATAATTATCTTTCTTTGAATCTTTTAATATATCCATCATATTAACGTTGTAATTGTAATTTGGGATTTTTGTACTCAATGGAATCAAATGGATTATTGAAGGATATATAAAACTTAGTTTGTTAATAATATAGAAAGCTGTTTTTTAGTTTGTTAATAATATAGAAAGCTGCTTTATAGAGTATGTTTTTTTGTTCACCTTTTTTAAGAAACATAACTTTTGAGTCTAATTAGTAGTATTGATAAAGTTTAATTAGGTGTAAAATATAAGGTGAAAATTTGAGCTAATAAGGTTTATTCAGATCAAATAAGTTAAGTTTGGGTGAAGAGAAAACATCATTAATTTAGGCCATTTTAACAGGCCACAATTTATTTTAAAATATTTTAAAAAATAACATCACTCGTCAGATCTAGTTTTCGTATTACTCTTTGTAGAGCATGATACGTAGATAGTATGCTAGCGGTATCATAATACGAGGCTTTATCTCAACAATTGGATAATTCAACAAGGATAATAATTATAATATTTCACGTAATCACGTCAATATCTTAGAAATGACCTCTAATCAAATGTTGCTTATTAATGCGGGTAGGGGAAGAGAGGTTTATATTTCTAATTTAATGTCTCTTGTGGCCTTACAAAAACTAGCAAAAGTAGCAGTCTTTATATATATAAAATGGTGGTTATCGTATTATGCTATTTATTGTCATTAATTTTACATTTAAAATAATCCCCTCTTTACTTGAAGGTGTGTACCTCCCATTGAAAAAACATCCGTACTCAAAGATTATAATCATTGCTTGTCTTTTGACGTAAGGTAGTGCCTTTAATTCGTAAGATTACTTTCTTTATCAAAAAACATATAACAAAAAAGAAAAAAACAGAGAAATTGCAACTGTAAGGGAGTCGGTTAAAGTCGGTACCCATTGTTTAGATACTTGTTTGCGAAGAAATGATCCAAGGGAAAGATATGTATCACTTATTGACTTGCATGAGGCCATGCTTTATTCGCAATTATACTCCGCATATAATTCTTAGATATCACCGTTGACTACCTGAAATCTGAATATGAACGTTATTTGTTATGGATATAATTCATTTGTACTCCATTTTATCCTATCATGTTTAATTATTTGCTATGGATATATATGATTCATTTCTACACTATGTCATACAAGTATGATTTATTTAAATATCACAAGAGTTCTATTTTATATGGTGTATAAATTGTTAAGTGCTTTACAATCTATAATGACAGAAGAAATGATGAGAATGTTAATATATACGAGTACTTCGTATTTAGGGCTCAAGTTATGCTCTCTTCGGCTTATTCAAGGTGTTATGCATAATTTGTTCTAATTTGAATATTTCTTGTCTAGTCTAATTGTAATCTAGTGTTGTGTGATCGAATCTTTTGGTTTGGTTATAATTAGTATGACTTTGAGTCTTGAAAAAAAAGAAATTTCATTCAAAATTTGTTTTATCTAGGCAAATATGATTTGATTTTAAGAACAATAAGTAATTAGATAGTGAACATGCAATTAGATTGCACAAATATATACATGAATATGTACATAAGTGCAGAGTCAATATATATACAGTACATGATATGGATATGTGCACAAGTACAGAGTCAAACGGTCAAAATAGATACATGACACATTACAATTCTGATGGTATGTCTTTGCAATTGAACTTAGGACTATTAATTAAATTCAAATATCAAATCTAGATGAGGAACTCAATAATTCGAATACAATATTACTTCAATGATTCAACTCATCTCTATCTATCTTCTAATATTAAAGGAAAATATAAAATAATATTGAGTTTACATTTTACCATCGTATATTCAATCCATTGGCTTTATCACAATCAGCTTCCTTTGGACCTAAACATCGTGAAGGAATGCTCACAAATTCATCCCCTATTTCCCTTAATAATTAAAAAAATATATAACCCTCATAATTCTTTTATTAATTAATCACATAAATAGTTGGTGTTCTAAAGTATTGATGAATCTGGGCTTGATACACCAGCCAACTCAATGGTTGGTGAAGATTTTAATACACACGGACAAATAAAAAATCGGAATATAATTTGCTAAGACTAATTAATAATAATAGTATGCGCAACTTTAACTCAAGATTTATTTCAAGATATGATTCGCAATATTACTAGCTGTTGTTTAAGTGCTAACCCACCTTATTTTTTTTTCTTTTTTCTTTTTTGTTTATTAAATTTTCTTCCTTCTATCTTCTTTAGATTTTTGGTGTTAACATTGATATCAATATCTTTTTTGTTTTTTGTTTATTAAATTTTCTTCCTTCTATCTTCTTTAGATTTTTGGTGTTAACATTGATATCAATATTATTCTCTGTACTAAGTAACATTTTTAAAGAGGTTTTTAATCGGACTAATTCACTCTATTCAGAATTAGTTGTCACATTGTCCTAACTTTTTATAATTTAAGATTAATTTTTGGTATGTCACAACTCTTTAAATCTATCTATCATGCAAATAGAAGACAAAATAAATGGTTGTCACACGTTCAAATAGTTTTGGATCCAACATCCACATCATTATTATTCTTCGTAATATTTTTAGAGAGGTTTAAATTAATTTTTGCTTGATCACTCTATTCAGAATTAGTTGTCACATTGTCCTAACCTTTCATAATCAAGAAGTGACATAATTTTATGAAAACATTATTTTGAACAATTTGTTATTTCCTTAATCTTTTCGTGTCTTAAATTTAGCTAAAAAGAAATTATATCGTTAGACACTATGAGTACTTCCTAATGTTCTTGCATTTGCATTGCTTGCGGGTAAGATACACTTTTCTTTCCTTGCTAGCCCAAGCTGTCGTATGATCCAAGGTTAGCTTCATGTGTTCGGTTAAAGACTTAAAGGAACCTTTACATAATCTTATATTAGTTTGCAAATCAATGCAGCCGTTAATTGTATCGAAAATGACAAGTATTAAGAAAGATCAGCATTGATTTCATAAACTTTAAAAACACTTTTGTCCGGATTACCTTAACAAAGAATTTATTGTCATGATCAATGCATCTTATTGTAGTTCTCTCTCCATATAAAAGCTAAAAATAATGGTTAAAGATGACCCACATTCTTCATGATTTTAGTTTACTTATTCGTCATAAAATTATATTTGAATTAGTTTTCTTTGTTATTTTAAGAAGACGTTATAACCGAAATAAATTTAACCTATTAATTATAAAGTGCTAAATCAAGTTAAAATGAATAACATAATATAAAGTATAGATCGAGGAAATATAAAACAGTAAAAGTGTTTAATATCGTCCTTGGCTCTTTAGGTAAACTAGCTATCTCACCAAAAAACTAAAGCAATGGCCTCATCTACTTCTTATATGAAGATGCGATAACTTACCAAACGAAGACGGTGATACATAGAAACAAGTACAAGTAGTACAACATGGAGTCATGAAAAGCCAATTAAAACCAGTTCTAATGAAATTAATGCAACTTAATTAATTAATGTTATGTTCTTAATTTTTGTTTCTAACAACAATTTGTCTAAAATAAATAAGCTATTCTTGACTTGTAGGAAAGAGACATCAACAATCTACATGGTCTCCTACTCTCATGTCGCCTTCACCCCAAGAGGAATAAAGGGGACAAATATGCTTTGGGTTTTTTCCCCTAAGAGAACGTGCATTGCATGATTGGCAACCACCGATTCTAATTTTTTTCATGAGCTAAGTCTTTCACTAGGTCTTAATCAAAGCATTTCATGACATGATAGCCTAGCCGATTTCAATTAATTAGAAGATTAGTCACCCAAATTACTAATTAGCCAATTCGTATATATAATGCCCTTCCCCAAACTAAAGTAACATTACTATAAAAATATTCTTTTGATCACATCATTTACTTATATAAAAGTATTTATGTTTAGTGGCTTACAAAAAAAAAATTTAATAAATAAAATCATAAGAATCACATCCTGCCCCTTCTCTTATTCCTATACTTTAAGAATAAAAAATGATTGCATATCTGCCTCGATTGATTTTACATATTGATTGGGTAGAAATTTCAAATCTGATGAATTTTGCTAGATAAAAAAAGTCCGACATCTGGCTCAATTTGACCCTTTAATCAACTCCACTCTTAAGGTTGAAATGTGTAATTAAATTGGCGAAAACATAATCAAGCCATGATCTTCCTATCAAAATAATTACATGGAACATACATAGCCTATGCTTTGTAGTTTGTAGTTTGTAGTTCAAGTTTATAGATATAAAACTAATTAAAATACATTATAATATTATTTTTTATACTTGTAAGAAGTAATTTGGATAGAAACCTTTAACCTAGCCCAAAAGATCGAAATGGAGTCACCGCAAGAATAGGACATAGTATGAAATAGTTTAGTTTGTCGCGAAGCAGCATGTTCTTGATGGACACATAATATACAATGAAGTAAGGCGGCCACATGTTTAGGCACCCTCCAGCAAGCATGGGTAGCCGACATATTATTGGTTACTTAATCTCTAAATCACTACTTATTTCTATCTAATCTTAATTCTAATTTCTCTCTCATTTATTCTTGGGTGTTGCAATTGCACGTTGCACCCCTTAATTTTTAAGGATAGGTCTTAATTTGAACATTTGAAGGTGCCATTTGTTATGAATTTGAGAGACAAGGACAAAATCTATGGATTTCAAGTTTTATATATACTTGATACTTTCAATAATTCCTAAGACATTGAATTTAGGTTCTATTTCTGTTACAAGATTTTTCTCACATTATCTTCATTTGGACAAGATTTGCTTACTATGAATTCAAGCTTTATTTGTAACTCACTTTTCAATTATTTCTTAGGACTTACCAATACCTAGAATAACATTCGTTTTGTGGATCTAGGCATGTTTTATTGATCTATAGCCATGTATGTAATAATAATGTTTTCTTAATAATAATGTTTTCACTTGAAAACTTTGAATATATTTTATATTTTTGTTAGTTGTTTGACATGATTATCACTTGAACAAGAGCAAGATACATTGGGGTATAATCGTATATCATATGCAACTATTGTAAGGTTCAAGCGAGGCTCATTACCATCTCTAAAACCGATAGCTAGTATAGACTCTAGAAGTGCAATTGTGAATTATAATGGTGCATTAATGCATTATACTACTAGGCTTGAACAATAGCTATTTAATTATTAATTTTTCTTACTCTCATGTGAAACATTAGAGAAAGTTAAATGAAAATACTTTCAATTTAAGCTATCTAATTACCTAAATAGGTACTTAGATCAAAGTTTCCATAAGAGTGCATACATATTTCTAGACCAGAAATCACGATTAACTTTCATCCAAAATAAAATCATTCAGAACTTGTTCTAAACTTCTTTTCAATTCTCCAAATCTAGACCTTGTTTTAGCTAATCTATGGGCAATCATATTCCCTTCTTATATCACATGAAAAAATGAACAAAATTGAATAATTCGTATTCAAGACTATACATCCAAAATCTGACGTTTCATGGTCCTCTAAGTCCCTAACGAAAACAATTGCTATCTGATTATTCTTATTTTAATAATTATATATTATTATATTGACAAAGTGGGGAGTGAGAAAACAACCATAAACACATTTGAACTCTTTGACTACTAAGCAAATGAAAAAAGTTTGAATTTTTTACTCTCCAAAGTTTTGTGAATGAGCAAAATCTTTCATGCCTTATGGATTATAAAATAAATTGAGTGGGAAAGATCTTTAAATTTTCCAAATGCCAAGTCAAACTTTGTTTACATTAGCCCCACCATATAATTAGCCAATAGCATAATAGGATTAATAGCCCACCATACCATATTAAGGTCTATAAAATTCAATTAAGATACATAAACCTATTCAATCAACCATTCAAAAAAAAAAAAAAATAAATAAAAACCTATTCAATCAAAATATAAATTTTAATTTCATGTCCATCTCCAACCGCTACTTGAACGTGCACATACAGTCAATTGCCGTCAATCAAGCAGCAACTTTTCCATTTACAATTTCTCACTATATTGTCATCTATCCCTAACCAATCCTTTTAAATAAATACACTCGCAAATCACAATACAATAATACGACTCAAACATAACAATATTAAATCTCGTCTACACCATTACCCTCTATGAATCGCTCAACAACACGTGTTATTGCGCGCCTACCATGATCCCGAGTACACTGGATATCCCTCGGGAAGATTTATACTCCGTATATAATAAACCGAGCAGGCGGTAGAAGATAAAGAAGAGAGAGAGGCGTGCCTTCACGATTTCCTTCCCTTAAAAACAGAAAATTGATTAGCTCTTTGCACGTTAATTAAACTACACCCATCACTTTCACTTCCTACTTCTTTTCTCTCTTTTAAACAAATCAATCTTTCAACTTTTTTTCTCCAATTTTCACTCTCTCTTTCTCTCTCTTCAATCTCTCTCTATTTTAATTTTTCTGGGTTCTCTGTTTTTTCATCATCCCCTGTTTCTGTAAACCTTAATTGTTGGATAATATGAGGACACTTTGCCCTAATTTTGACAGAGAAGATGGGCTTGAAACTGTATTAGAAGTCCCAATTCCTGAAGAAATGTTTCCTTCTGCTAAGAATAAATGGCCTAATATGAAATCTTGGATGAAAACTAACCCTGGTAGAGCTCCTGCTAGTTTACCTTTTGCTGATAGAAACTCTCAAATTCAGCTTCTTCTTGGTGTAATTGGTGCTCCATTGATCCCTCTCCCAATTCCTGCTGATCATAAGGTTAACAAATGCATCAAAGATCACCCAATCGTAAGTTTTACAAACCCTCTTGATTGATTCTCTGTTTTCTTTTTCTGGGTTTCTGGGGTTCTTGTTTTCCCATTAATTGTTCGATAAAATGCTTCAATGAAAAAATAGACAGATTATTGATCGTTTGTGTTCGATGAAATGTTTTACAGGAATCATCAATGGCGAAATACATAATTCATCAGTACATTGCAGCAATGGGAGGAGAGCATGCTTTGAATTCGATTGACAGTATGTATGCAATGGGAAAGGTGAAGATGACAGCGTCAGAATTCAGTGCAGGCGAAGGGTTATCAGTGAATAACCCGAAAGCGGATAATAAGGTGGTGAAGGTTAAAGGAGCCAAGAATGGTGGTGAAGTTGGTGGATTTGTTTTATGGCAAAAGAAGCCTGATTTGTGGTGCTTAGAGTTGGTTGTTTCTGGTACTAAGATTAGTGCTGGGAGTGATGGGAAGGTTGCTTGGAGGCAGACACCTTGGCACAACTCCCACGCCTCCCGAGGCCCGCCGCGACCTCTCAGACGTTCATTACAGGTATACTTACACTCCGGTCTCCGGTTACGCCTATAATCCATTTCATTCTGTTCTTAGTAAGATATGATGCAGTGTCTGTATGGATAATGATATTAAGTATAACTTATCTTAATTGTATGATTTGTTTGATTATGTCCTTTTTAGTGAAATTCTGTTCATATTATTACAATGATCATTTACATTAGTAAATCCTATAGTAGTATATATTTTGAATTTTTGATTTTATCTAAAAGAAAATCTTGATCATGTGGTTGCATGCTTTAAAGTTTAATTCTATATCAATTAGTGGGTTATTGACAACTATTGCATGATTGAGATTCTACTCGTTTTTGGCTGTCTTTTGAAATGATTGAAATTATGTAATTATGTGTGTTGCCATTAGAGGCTACTTGATTATTTTGTAATGTCTAAATAATGAACTGTCTAATAATCATATTAAGATTGATATCGTCTAATATTATTGTTTTCATTTATTAAGATTATCATCATGACAGATTGTTAATTGCTGTTTATTTGTTACCTTAAGCTCTAACAACCCAATTTACTCTAGGAAACAGGGTTAATTGCAACATTTTCTTTTGCATCATATTCAATTATTCAATCAGCTTTGTTATTGCTTATTGGGTAGTACACTTTTGCATTGGGCTTGCTTTTGACTTTTAGAACTAAGGCCCTCAAACTCTAGAGTGCTTTCTTTATTCACCAACCAACAGCATTTTCTTCCCTTTCTTTTGAAAATTGGTTGTTGACTAGTCTGAATCTTGAAGGTGAGGAGTTGTGCTCATATATTGAAAGTTGATAAAGTGTATAATTTATCCTTGATTTGATTTATCTTTACTCTTACTGTGGATGGTAACTTCATCAAAGCTAATTACATCTCGAATGTCATGAACTAATCAGCAAATGGAAATTTTTTGTAGGGTCTTGATCCGAGAATGACAGCAAATCTATTCACTAATGCTCTCTGCATTGGCGAGAAAGTAGTACACGACGAAGATTGCTTCGTGCTAAAGCTAGAAGCCAATCCCTCAACACTTGAAGCAAGGAGCAGCAGCAATGTAGAGATAATCCGCCACACAGTTTGGGGCTACTTCAGCCAAAGGACAGGACTTTTGATCCAGTTAGAGGACACTCACCTTCTAAGAATAAAGACTTCGAAGAGTGATAGCATTTTCTGGGAGACCACGATGGAGTCCCATATCCAAGACTACCAAACAATAGATGGTGTTAACATAGCACATGCCGGAAAAACTTCAGTCTCATTGTTTAGATATGGGGAGAACTCTGACAATCATTCAAGAACGCGTATGGAGGAGGTTTGGACCATTGAAGAAGTGGACTTCAACATCAAAGGACTGTCCATGGATTGTTTCTTACCCCCCGCTGACCTAAAAAAAGAGGATGAAGGATTCACGACTGTTGTGCCAAGCACCATAAAACCAACCACTAAAACGCTATGTGCACCAAAGGCTGCAAACACAAAGGTTAGCACAGCTAAGGTTGCTGCTGTCGACGATCATCATTCAGAGAATCTGGATGGGAGCGAAAGGATGTAAACTCCCAATCCCAACCATCAATTTTGTGCATCTTTCTGTACATATGAAATTACCCGAGTGAATTGTACAGCCATGACTAACAGGAAATCTAGGACTGCTCAACAAAAGCTGAGCATCACATGTATAGACCTTCCCAACTGATTGACCAAGTTAGTCACGACTGGACATTCACGTTCCATGATGTAGCTATACACAAGTTATAGTTTCCGGTAGAGGACTTTCTTAAAGGCTTGTGTTTTATGGAAGTCTAGGCCTCTCGGAATTTATGTCATGATCTATATATATTTTGATTCACTAATTGAAAGTAAATTGTTCTTTCAACGTAGAAAACGTTCAAATGACCCTCATTTTTGTTCATTCTTTTGTGAGAAATAGAATCTAAGATACTTTTTCTATGAAGTAATTATGTCCGTGCAGTGTAACAATCTAGCAATGCTAGTAATTGACATACTATTTGTAAAATTAAAATTGCACAACAAAATAAAAGGCAGTAAAGCAATACTGTAATACTCAGCATACCACTAATTTACAATTACAAAAGAACACAATTATATCAAAAATCAAAAGGAAGGTATTTTGTAATACCTCATCTAGTATATTTCCTCTGTAGCTGTTTTTCCACCAGTCCATGAACCCTATAAACTGTATAACTTTTGCCATTATTAGGCATAGCATAACTTCAAGCAGTAGTAGTAGGGTCAATTCAAATACAGGTGGGGTCATACTTTAGGGCACGTCCATTTGGGTGATGGTCATCTTTTGGTAAGGCTGTAAGGCTAATTTCACTTTCTAATCAACTTCAAATTAAAAGCCCATAACTTACTGTGTCCTTGTTGATGGGAATTGCGTTAATCAAGTCTAGTCCATTTCAAATCAGCTTTGTTTTGGATCATGAAAAATTGAGTATAGGTTGGATTAATTTTTAGTTAGCACAAGTGGCTATAAGTCTATAACTATAGAATACGTAAAGGCTGTATAATTTGGAAGACTTTTCAATGGTTAAATGTGCTATGTTGCTATATGAAAGACATTTAAGTATAAATAAACGAATAATGAAAGATAGAAACCAAGATAAAAAAACAACTGAGTACAAACATAGAAGAACATAACAGTAAATTCAAAGATCAAGGACTAAATTTCATAATTAACATTTGTTTCGGTTGAAAACAATGGGACCTTGCCGAAGGTCCACTGAAATGGAGAAGACTGGATTCGATCCAAGTTGTGTTGGGCCGAAGGTTTCCTGCACAGTGAACACGCGTAAACTAGCCTCGGGGGTGTTTCCGAGGAAGGCCCCTCCGATGCTAAAGTCAGTACAATGTGTAGAAGGAAGACACTATGCAAGAGAGTTTGTAGCTTGAGGCTTTTGTGGAATATTTCTGAATGCCAGAATGAGCATATGAATTGGAATGTGAATGTATGTGTCCTTTTGATTGTGTCAATATGATGGCTTTTATACCTCATCATACATGGAGAGGTTGGGCTTTGGCCCAATTGGCTTACTCTGTGGGCTGACCTTTGACTTTTGAGCAGTTGGAGGGTTGAACCTTGACCTTGGGCTTTTAATTGGATCATTTAGTGCCCAGGCCCAATTTTGACTAAATTGGACCCAAACAACTTGCCCCCCAGACCCGATTTGGAAGGATGACGGGTCGGGTTTGATTTAACTCAGAAAAGGAGGGAAGTAAATGATTTAATTGATCCAAAAATTTGAATTTAAACCGTAATTAATGAGATAACAACGGTTAATGATTTGCGGAAGTTGGACGGATAATGGGCAGTTTAATCACAAGACATGTGTTTAATGGTTACTTAGTGGGTATTTAAGAGAAATTAAAGCACAGACTCTTCGTATCCCGTACCTGGAGATATAAACAGAGGCGCGTCATTCTCCTCACTTATTCACCAACACAAACCCAGAATTCTTCGAGAGAGAAACCAAGAACCCGCATAAAAACTTCGCAAATTCCCCGAGCATTGAGCTTAGAAACTGAGACTTGCCACTACGAACTCGTAAATCGGCAACTTTCGCTTCAGATTAAGGTAAATTCCTTTGATTTCAGTTTATTTTTCTTCGAATTCGAACTCCTTCCCCTTTTCTTTCGACTTTTCTCTTCGAAATAATCCATGGCAAGAGGAGTTAGAGGTAGAGCCCGTGCTCCAAGAAGAGCAAGGCCGATTCCCGATCCTAGGAACAGGATTGGGACCTGGAATGGCCAAAGGCCGGAGTCTGACCCTGCTGAAGGGATTAGGGCGACTCCCCTTTCCTCGGCTCCTCCTCAAAGAACGGATGAGCCGAGTGCTTCTGGACGGGATGATGAAATTCCCGCTGTCCTTTGGGATATCCTCCCTGGGTTTTCAGAGTGGGAGAATGCCGAAGTCGCTTCGGCCATGATAAAGAACCGCCCCTACTCATGGTGGGTAGAGAACGCCGATCAATATCGATTTGCCGAGCAAATTGAGTTGCACTACGGCATTTTTGAAGCTGATGGATATTGGTGCCGAATGCCCTCAGCATCCGATAGAATCCATCGTCCACCCCCGGGGTATGTGGGGGTGTACACGAGACAGCTTCAGTATGGGCTGAGGTTCCCTTTGGACGTTTTCGTCCGAGACTTGCTGATCCATTACAACATTTCCCTATGTCAGCTAACCCCCACCAGCATCCGAAGGGTGATGACATACTTATGGGTCTGCAAGTTCTTCAAATATGTGCCGAACCTGCACTGCTTCAGAAAGCTCCATCGGCTAGTGCCAAATATTCAAAGTGGGCACGGAAGCCATGGTTCGGGGTGGTATCGGATTGAGTCCCGGCCCCAATATTTGACCATGTGGCCAAATGACTCTTCAGACAAAGACTGGAGAGGTCAATGGATTTGGGTTAGGGCACCCACAGATCCGGGCCACCCTTGCGTCTTCAGCGCTCCCCGGTACTTAGCTGAGCCTGATCCCGAAATGGGAAGTCTAGGTCCCCCCGCAGATAACGGGGCGGATCCGAACCTGGATCAGCAACATATCTTCGGCAAGCTGCCGAACCCGGGGGGAAGTGGTCGAATGCAGCATATCCCGGAGACTTGGCTCCCCGATACGCATTACGTTTTCCAAGAGAATATGCTAGCAGCTGTTGGCCTCAGCCGAAAGTTTAAGGATGGTAAGCTTCTTCGGCTGGGGCCGAGGCTTTTTAACTACCTCTTTTTCTTCTCTTGCTTTGCTTTTTTTTATGCTGTGCCGACATATCTGAGCTAAACTTTTTTCCCTTTCCTTTTTTCAGAGCGGGACGAGACCAACGTTGGTATTAACTACGCTCGTCTTGGTGTTAACCGAGAGCGAGTTGTAACTGAACGGGCCCCGTCTATCACTGAGCCGAGGCATAGGGAAGTTCATCTGGATTCTTCCCACTTCCAAATTGAGGCTGTTGCTCTGTATCAGAGGCAGAAGCCTTGGTGGAAGAAGAGAGACCCTTGGTTTCAGCTGCTGAACGAAGAAGCTGAAGCTGCCCGCACAGCCGAAGAGGTTGCACGAGTACTTGAGGCTTGCGAAGGAGGAGAAGGGTCCTCCAGAGCTGCTGAGGCCGAAGCTGCAGCTAGAGCAGCTGAAGAAGACGAGGCTTTGCTGAAAACCTCGGTGAGCTTCAGACAACTTTTTTTCTTTTCATTTCTTCTTCTTTTTTTTTTTTTTTTTTTTTTTACTCACACTCTTCTTCCCCCTGTCTGTTACAGTCTGAAGAGAGTAACAGACACAGAGAAGGCAAAGCTCCTGTTCGTCCCGAAGATCAAATACAAGAGTCTTCAGACTCAGATATGGACGAGCAGCCCCTTCTGAAAAGGCGCCGAAGGATGGCCATCATCGGCCCTCATGACTTTCAGCAGAGGCCGATGACCATCGGCGTCGCAATAAGGGAACCTGAGGAAGGCAATGGATCGCCGAGGGTTCCCCAGCCAACACCCCAATCTCCTCAAAAGACCCCTCCGCCACCTCCTGAGATGGAGGTGGATCAGAGAACTCCCGAACCTAAGGGAGGGGTCCAAGAAGAAATCAAGAAGAGTGCTGCTGAGCACGAAAATAAAGATGTCGTGATGTCCAGTGCTGAGGGCTTCACGGCAGATATCGCAAGAGAGGTTGAGGCTTTCGTCCTCACCCCTGAAGAAGAGGAGGTCATAGTAATTGACTCCTCTGAGAAGGACGATGCTGAGACAACCAAAGCTAATCAAGCTCCATCGTCGTCCTTCCCTTCTTTCCAGACTCTGCATTCTGGAGAAATGGGTTTCTCGGCCCCCGAATTCCAATCCCAGATCACATCTGGGACCTCATATGGGGTCAAAACCGAGAAGGAGCTGCAGCCTACTTCGGCAATTTTGGTGGCATGTCCGAAGTAGACAGGGCAAGGATCTGGTCGCTGAAGGCCACTGCTGGGATGGGCGAATCCAGTAGATCAGTTCCTGACCCAGCCAGGTCCAACCAACTGCTGATGATGCAGGTAATTTTCCTTCATTTCCTCCGAAATTCAGCTCTTTAAATATATTTTTTTTTTTTTTTTTACTTATTATTATTTATTTTTTTTTGTCTTCCTGTTTTCAGTTCGTGCACAATCAGACTCTCACTGTAGAGCTGATAGATACCCTGCAAGATAGGGTAGACGCTGCTGTGCACGAAAAGAAGGTAGCTGAGGAGGAAGTTAAGCTTGCTAAGTTGAAGCAAGCAGCAGCTGAAGAGAAGCAGCAGGAGGTTGAGGAGTACGGTAAAAAAGCTGCCGAAGCCCTGAAAACCTTCTGCGATGCTATGGAGAAGGAGGTTTTTCCCCCACTGATGGAAGGGGAAAAATTCCTCCAGGAGCATATGGGAGTGGACGTCTCCAAATTCAAGGCTGCCATTGAGAGCCGAATTCAAGAAGGAACTGCTGCACAAGCTGAAGTGCAGCAGCGTCTAGAGGCTCTTGAAACCAGCCGAATGGCTGCTGAAGAGTTGCTCCTGGCCAAAGACGTCCAACTCTCAGAGGCTGCTGCTGCTGCTGAAGCCCAAAGAGCTAAATTCCAAGAGGCTGAGGATCAATTGCTGATCCAGAAAGTTGAAGTGGCCCAGGCTCAGACAAAGGCTTTTCAAATTCAGCAAGAGCTGAATGAGCTGAAGGGTTCCTCCTCCAAAGTCGCTGATGAGCTGAAGAAATCCAAGGAAGACTTGGAGGAGACCCAGAAGAAGCTGGCTGATGCTGAGGCTTTACTCAAAGTCCGTGTTTACACCCAAGAGGAATATGAGATGGGTTTCAGAAACGGATTCCGAGTATG